TATTAAAACAAAGCAAACTTTACAGACACAAAAAAACATGCACAGACAACTTTGCAAGACACGAAAGGAACTGCACACACAACTAGAATACAAAAGAAACTGCACACACAACTTAGCAAGAAACAAAAAGAAACTGCACACACAACTTAGCAGACACAAAAGAAAATGCACACAAAACTTAGCAAGACACTATCTCCAAGTGCAATGAAACCAAGTTAATGTGAAAGCAGATTGAAAACTAGTGAACCACAGAGAGAAAGAAGCCTACCTAGAGGTTTGGCTGTACAGGATGAAGATGTAGTTGGCAAGTCATGGAGGTTTTGGTAGGTAGAACTTAACATAGATGATGACGCCGCTGTATTGCTACCACACGTTGTTACAGCAGATGATGATAATTTCGTACTAGAGCTATTACTGGGTGCATTTATATGAGAGTGAAGTAGTTGACCGCATGTGTTAACATAAAGCGGTTCCACTTGGGAGAAAGAGGGCTTACTTGTTTCTTCTTGACTCCTCTGGGCGTTTATAGCACCCATATCAGTTTGGTCAGACTCACCCCGTATGTCACTAATGGACTGTTGGAAGGGATTAGTACATGACTGTGGTCTAATGCGATTGATTCTTCGAGATGATGGGGGTGGCACATCATATATTGGGTTGGCTAATGCAACATCAGTTGACTGACTGTGAGTGAGAGTGGCGCGTGGAATGAAGGAGGCTTGGTTGGTAGCTGGTGGAATGTCATAATTATCTTGATTCAGTATACCTGAATGGTAGTGACAAGAAACAGTGACATCAAAATATACACTGAGTCACTTGTAAGCTAAGATGAATATACAATATATGTGTAATATGTATAAACATGTATATACCGTATTTATTCGAAGAAACGCTTAGGGCGTTTATTGTTGGGAAGGGTTTTTGTGGGGGCGTTTATTCAAGGGAGGCATGTATTAGAGGCGTTTAATTTTTTGAGTGTAAAATGGATACATATATATATTCAAATAAACACTCCTTAATTTCACTGTAAATGTGGAACTACAATGCAGCAGATAATTACTGCAAAAATGTGTTATAGTTTTAAAGGGTCAAACTAGAGCCCTAATATCCAGATTAGGAGATAACCATTACCACCAACCGTTAGCACTCGTCTGAGAATACCGGTATTGGTTTGCACTAACTGTTACCAAGATCTGGAAATGCTATCAGTTAGTGAGCGCTATCGGTTAGCAAGTTGAGCGCATTTCTATCATCAACTAATCACATATACGCATTTGCAATTTCCAGTTTTCTATTGGCCAGTGATCCCATCATCATCTTCTTGATATCTGGATGGGGGATTTTCTTGTATGAATGCAAGGATGAGCCTGCACGTTATTTAGGGGGATCCTGCTAACCGTTAGATGGTGTGTGTGTGAATACAACCTCTGTGGATGGTGTGTGTGAATACAACCTCTGTGTGATCATAAAGCAAGATTGTAATTCTACTGGAGTAGAACATTAATAGAATTTTTCTATTAGATTTTTAGGGGGGAACGTATATTTGATGAAAAAATAAACGGCTAGGGCGTTTAATCGAGGGAGGCATTTATTTTAAATGAGGCTCTAGAGGGGGAATTAAGCGAATAAATACGGTATAACAAATGATAATTATAAATTGGCTACACTGATTGATGACTCTTCAAATGGCACTCAACATTTAATGACTCAGTCACACAGTTGGTTTCACAGAACTTACTCTACACAGTTTTACCTGTGGTATTTTGGTACATTTCATCAACTCTAATTTCTGGATCAGAATCATCATATCTTCTTGGGGGAAGTTCAGGTCCCCTGTAGTCTGTTCCATTGGTGTTGACTCGTTTCATTGATGCTCTTGGTGATATATCTGGTGAGTTGTTAGGAGGTGATCTTCGTGGTGGCAGAGCAGGAGCGCTTTTCGCTGCATTGTCCTTTGTTCTGGTGGGCATAGCATATGTTGGCTCAGATGGCTGAAGAATAAAAATTAAATTTAACAGAGAATCAGCTTCAGTTGGAGATAATCATGAGAGACTTTGGTTTATAAGAAAGAACCATACTCATAAGGGAAGACTCAGAAAGAGGTATAAAGTGGCAACATTGCACAGAGTTAAGTGTTGTTTTTCAAGTATAATGATATATATGTAACAAATTAATGTGTTCCTTAATGTACTTCATGATAATATAGAATATAGACACTAGAAAGTTTAAAGAAGAAAAAGCAAGTGGATAAATAAGAAAAATAGGATACCATTAATTGAACCTGAAAACACAACCAATGTTCCAATAACAAACCATGTATAATCTCGTCCTTCCTTTATCATTTTCTATACCTGGGGTTATTAGTGTCCGTTTATGTACTAGTAAACATACATATGTTTTAAAGTCATAATTGCTTTAAACCGACTTGTGAACAACACCTGCCACCGGTGGTGACACCTAACCTCCCAGCACTGGAACCAAAACCTGAATAACCTCTAAAAATTAGTGAAACGTTTGCTCCAGGAGCTAAAAATAATTATATATACAAGCAAAGAAACAGTTAGGAGATACAGTAGCAATATGTTAATATATATTATATAATATACAGTATAAATATATTATATAATATATATCATAATGGGTAGCGACATGTACCTTGTTAGTAGCAGTGGTTTTTTTGGAGGTATCTGATGTGTTCAGTGGGCTACTAGAAGTGGTGGTGGTAGTAATGGTGCTAGATGTACCGCTATTGGTTGCCATGGTAGATATAGGAATAGTCCAATGAGATGGGTCCTATGAAAATAAAATATGTTATATTATAAGTCCATGAGAAGTGACACAATGAAAAGGTGACAGGCCGACAAATGCTTGCAAGGATGTATTAGTAACAACAATTACAAAGACATTGTCACAAATATTATGTATCATATCTAGTTCACAATAGCCTTCACATCCAGATCGGGATCTAACCTTCAGCCCGATCCGTTAGCACGCATGTGAGAACGCTCTAACTGTTCCCAGAACGGGGATACGCTATCAGTTAGCTAGCACTATTGGTTAGCAAATCAACCTCATTTTTATCATTACCAATCAAACATACGCATTTCCAATTTCCAGTCTCCTTTTGACCAGTGATTCCACCGTTATCTTCTTGATATCTGGATCAGGGATTTTCTTGTATGAACGCAACAGAGACCGTGTAAGTTATTAATTTGGATCTTGCTAACCGTTCGACGGTGTGTGTGAAACCAGCCAAATTAATATTGTATTTATCAATATGAAAACAGTTGACTCCACATTTACTGTAAACAGTATAATGTGTAAAGGTTCTTATAACTATGAAATGTTCATACTACAAGTACAGTAGTATAAACACTTCATGATTGCTTCCTGATGTCAGTTCTCAGTGATGTTGTGGGCTTTAAACATTTTTGAAAATTGTAGATAATTTCTTATTGTAAGGGGCACAGAAAGTGATGACACTGAACCAACAGTAATTGGCTACTGTACTAATAACACAACACTGCGGGCAGCACTGCCAGACTTGCTTTAATGTTTTAATTCAAATATTGGATGTTGTGTTTTAATTTAAAAAAAGAGAATTAGCTATTAAATTAACATATGTTAATGACAACATCAAACATGCAAATGAGTTAAAGAGATTAATTTCCAAAAGTAATGTTAAAGTTTCTATAAACAGATAAATTCCCAACAGAATAATATCAACTATATTTGTTACATCTAGAAATATAATAGATTCCCTGACCAAAACACCAATATTAAAAAGGTGCCCACATAAAATAAAATATACAGATAGAAACTAAACCTCTTCTTCCATTATGGCGGCTTTGAAAAGGGCCGTCTGATTTGGGCATTTTAAGGTTTTTGATGACGTCCTCATACATATGATGCGTACATAAAACTGGGTGCTCGTATAACTGAGGTATGTAGAAACGAGGTTCTACTGTACTACATCATCAGTTACCATGCTTTAACCTCAGCTACATAATTACCTGTCCAAGCCTGTAGACAGAATTTTTAAAGGGATTCTAATTTTTCACAAAAGGACACTGTGAGTCCACACCCACCTTTGCCCTACCATGGTTGGGTTAAATTTTAAAGACATAACACCTCAGATGTCCAGAATGGCAATAAAAATGCCTAATGTCAAATATTTGGAGTTAATGGTTCTTTCAAAACCCCCTGGCTACAAGCTTGCTCTCAGAGTTCAGTAGCACCCACCATGACACAATATGCTACAGTATGGCCCATTATGCTACATCACTACACACCTTACAACACAATCATCCACAATTCTACGTTATAGTATAACCCGCTTGATTGCAACATGATTCAACACTATGTTCCACCATCACCCAAAACATACAGCATCACACACTATAGTGCATCACACACTACAGTGTATGCTACATCATAATCCACGGTGCAACCGTTAGCAACCATGCTGCAGCATCTCCCATCATGATACATCACCATCTATAATGTATTAGCATCGCCCATCATTCAACACTATCATCCCATTTTCTGCTTACTACTTAAAATATCAACAATTTAAGGCATACCTCCAACCAATCATCATCTTCAATTTCCCTTTCATCTCTGGATTCTGCTTGCACTGTATTCTGGTTGTTGATCACAGTGATCTTCTTGGGGTCATAGGGGTCAATCTTAATTTTTTCTGTTCCTTTTATTTCACATCGACAGAAGGGACAGCCTTGATTTTCATTGTCCTAGAGTAAACAGGTGGTGAAAGTAAAAATCAAATAAAGAATGTAAAGACCTGATGAAAGTAAAATAACAAATTAATTATTATTACATTCATTGTTTACAGCAAGCATCCTTATTTAATTTAATGATATCAATAAATATTTAGAATTATTTATTACAATGTTATTATAGAAATATTCTGCTTGCAAACAGTCAGAAAATAACGAACTACTGTATGCTAATGACTTTGAATATGATTTTGCCTACAGAAAACCCAATGTGTTGATACTGTATTAAAACCATAATCAGAAATACTCTACCTTGTTTGTATGCATTCGCATCTGAAAAAATAACCATTACAAAAATATGTAAAATATTAAGGCATGTCATAAACATTTTCACAATTAAAATATTTAATTTGTTCTTAATTCTACTGCAACAAAGAATAATAACACAGAAAATAAAAATATCTCCAAAAGGGTGGCAGTGTATACAATCGATTAAATAAACGATTATGCTGCGCAAGTCATTGTTGTTATGCGGAACAGTCCTTGACGGCTCAAGTAGAAATCAAATCATTGAATATTAAATTTTGAATCTCTGATGGGCAAAGCTGCTGTATATCCATATAAAGTCATGATATGCCTATATATGGTCATGATGTGATGTCATCATGACCATATTTAGGCATGTCACATGTTTTTGTCACATACCATTTGATAGTCTTGGCTTTTTATGTATCCAGCAACCAACTTAACATAGCACTGTATACAGCACATTCTAAGCACCATATGTATATTAACACATGCAAACATACATCAAATATAATTGATAACTTCTTGTATGTATTAGCAAAACTAATTTAAAATATTAATATTATTAAGAATATGAATATGTATAGTTCACCCTCCATACCAAAACCCCTCTAATTTCAAGTTACCTCCAATCAAAGACAACTCAAAGTACCAACCAACAATCTTCAATCACAAATTTACCCACTAGACTGAGCCCCAAGACCACCCCAAACTGTATTACATACAAATATATTATTAAATAAGTTATATTATTATTCATTAATATTTAAACTTAACAATTAATGTCACAGTGATGATGATGATGTTAATAATTAATAATAAAGTAATAATAAATATAATAATAAGCAATTAGTAGAGCTCCGCATAGTACACTATAGGAAAATTATTACATGAAGGTTAGATTTAATGCTTGAAAAAATTTCCTGAGGGCATGCAAGGCCCGAAGGAAATTTTTGAATGCATTAAATCTAACCTTCGTATAATAATTTTCCATTTAGTGTACGATGCATGCTCTACTAATTGCTTTAGAAGTCAATCGCCGTCTTTTAATTTTAGTTTTTTTTATAACCAACTGTTGTAGCAGTCATCGGTTACTATAGTGATATGATCAGTATACGTGTGCGTATTTACATTTAGCTGTGCGTATGCTGATTTTTGCTCCTGCAGTACGTGTTTAATTAACTACACAACAGCAATACAGTACGGATACGATGAATACGGTAACTATATTTTATTAGAAAGAACTTGTTTGTAATGCTATTTTGATAGACTTTCGTCAAAGAAATAGACATTTCAGCATTCGAGAGAGAATACAGTCACTGACGTTCTTTTTGGTCGGTGCATGCAAACAGGTAAAATCGTGCGATGATTTCATAACTAGGCTAGGCTACGGCCTAGTAGTAGGAGGAGGCCCGGGCGGCCTCCTGCCTGGCCGTAGGCCTACATCGAAACTTGTTCCTTGAGTCTTTAAAATAGGTCTAGAATATTCCTATTAAACCTTCAGTTTGTTGTGTTTATGAGGGTCCATTGATTCAATGAATTCCTTTATTGTTCATACTTAATATTGAATTTGAAGTAACTTTCTTCGGGTTCTAATTAGGCTTGTTTTACAAAGTAATTTCAATTACAATTCAATTTTTATCGCGGTGCGCGATGTATTCGCGGTGATGAAAAAATGAGGAATTGTTTTTGCACACGAATCTAAAAAAAATCAAGCCAAGCGTCCACTAATAGAAAAATTAGTGGACGCTGGTGAATAGGCAAATAACATTGGGAGTTACAGTGATGACGTCATGATTGACTTATAATAATAAATAGATAAAAATTAAAACTAGTAATATGGCATGGAAGTCTTTAAATGTTATTCTACAGTATATCATATCTACCTGCCAGGAATTTAGGCAAGGGGTACATAGCAAGTGTCCACACGGCTCAAGCCTCACATCCTTGTCATTCTCGGCACATATCTTACACAACTGAAACGTGGAACCCATCTCACAATATAGTTCATACTGGTCTTGCGAAACATGTATGTGTTCCTCATGTGGTTTGATTAAAATACTCGTCAAATCCGGATTGAAATCATCTCCATCGGGGTACAAGTAACTACAATAGGATCACATAGAAAACAATTAAATGTATTAATATAATGCCAGTCCAGCATAATTCTAGATACAATACTGTAAAAAAGAAGTATTTTCACAAAAATACCATCTAGGCCTCAAATTACTCACAAGCCTTCCTTGTTGCCATCAATCAATGCCTGGCAAAGTGATTTGTTCTGGGGAATGGTCTGTAGGATATTGCCTTCTTGTGTTACATAGCCAATAGCCCACTGGCCTAAACGTGTGCAGCTGAGCCGAAAAATATAGCTGAAAATTAGGAAAATAGTTGGTAAAAATCATGGCAACACTGACATCATTTTTGCCTTAGATGGCGCTGTATAAGCTTTCATTGTTGACTTGTCATTACGCTCCATTACACAATTTTTAGATATTTACCAGCGATATGCCATTTATTATCATTAGTAATCAAATATCTCCTTACAGACGAGACTACACACTATTCTCATACAGTTGCTATTGATGCAAAGTTTATCCATTAACTAATTAATACAATTACACAACAAATTTTAAATGGTAATAGAACTTTGTACTTCTGCTTGAAATAAATATGTAAAATACACATAGACAATGTCTATTGAGAGCCATAGTAGCAATATTATTCTTGTTTTATTTAGGACTAAATAAAAGTTAAATAAAGAAGTATGATTTAAAGTCTGGTGTTAAAGTGAAGTCTTCCTCACCATAGAGGGCAGCATTTTATCTCAATTACTACACAAATCCAACATCTATCATTGATCATTCTGTTCATTTAATTGTTCAATCACTCCATCAATCAATTAATCAATTAATCAATCCCTTACCAAATCTATCACTCAATCAATTTATCAGGCTATATAATATAAGTGTGTATAATGCAGGTGTATTTAAGTGGGAATCATACTACTGTAATGTGAGTAAGGAAATGTTTGTGCCGATTTACTGTCCAAATGCGTGCACAGCTATGGAAGAAATATATTGTAGTAACACTTTTTTAAATGTCTTAGAATTATTGGCATATTTCTATTTATGTCCAATAAAATATCATAAAAAATAATCTTACGATAATACAAGTCTATAAAATATCAGACGAGGACGTGTCAAGCTACAAAAGCAACACATGTGAGAATTCATTATTCAAATTATGTTAGTACAGTACACTTGCGTAGACAGCTTCATGACTCAGGACTTTCAAATGAAGACGTTGGTATATTTCTTATGTTAGGTGGGACTGTACTGACATCATTCCTATGTTTTCTGGAAATTTATATTATAGCACATACAATATTTGATGAATTCTGTAAATCTTATTTAAAACGAACATGGGCATTAAAGGCATATTATTACTATATTTATTACTATTACTGCACTAGACCTACTACTATTGCTTTAATTTTTATCCCTTGTACACTTTTTAGAGTAAGTTAAAGTAAGTTACTGTAGTACTATAATGTTTTATTCATTGCATACTGTATATGCAGCTCATCATCATTATTTATGTGGTTTACGTGTAGATAAACTATTTTCATGTAGGTGCGGTTTATTAAATTATATATTTCCTGGTGTTAATTTGCCTTCTTATTTTCACTTTATATTTCCTTTATTAAGTCAAGGAGGCATGTTATATACCTCCTAGGATAAGTTAATGTCATGTCTAAAATTCTAAAATTATAGTTTAAGACATGGAAGCATTTAATATTATGCTTTAGAATATTCTGTTGTATGACAATACTTGGGCTGGGCTTCACAGAATGATGATTATTTAAATAATACAGTACTTCTGGGTGGATCCATACGGGATGAGGGTCGTCGACATCCGGACCTCCTACCACCCTTAACATGTTAGAGTACAGATGTTTAGGTAAATAGTCAGAAGCCTTTTTTCTTCTGTATGGGTGGGTGGGTCATTTATGAATAATACTATTGTTGGCTTTTCTCTCAAAATATGGGAGGATGACAAGACAGAAGACAGTTTCCCTAAGTCATTTAAACTTATGTTATTTATACAGAAGTTCTGAAAATATTACTTCCTGTAAATATCTGGACCCACCCCAATATATCACAACCTCGCGAAATGCTGCCAATACAACGCATATAAATGTTCACAAAATATACCGGTCCAGTAATGGAATCAAATATATTAAGCAGTGACGATGTCACTAAAATCACTAAAATAATTCAATACGTGACGAATAAGGAATGTCACATTCATTACAACATTTTACCATGTATAGAGTACTACAGTGTTACGTCACGATACCATTGTGGGGCTGAGGCAGTATATACCCATGAAATAGAGGGGCCCAGAAAGGGACTTTCACAGATGGTGGCCCTCCATCTGTGAAAGTCCCTCTCTGGGCCCCTCTACTTCGATTCCTGGATCCACCACTGGTTTTTTAGAATATTAATTTTGTATTATGGCAATACCTGCCGACTTGGCTTCACAGACTAATTATCTAATAATTGGGCGGATCAAGAGGGGGTGATATTTGGTAACGGTCTCTAATAAGATGGGAAGGGTAACAACACAGAAGACAGTCATTTAATACAAGAGTGCCTTTTTCTTATTTCTGTATTCCTCCTGCAAATATGTGGATGCGTAGGGGATGCAGGTTGGTAGGGGATAGTTTAGCCAATTGTAGTTAAGAGTAAAATACAGTATTTAAGAGTAGTTAAGCCCAGCTTAAGGTAGTAAGGGACGTCCTGGGTATGACATTAAACATCCGGTCGAAGCGTCGGCGACTAAACTGACAACCCTCTCAGATATGTCTTAGAGGCTGCTGAAGGGAGGGTGTTTATGGTCACCCAGCAGGAAGAAAAACCAATAGCTGAACAAAGGGCGGATGAGCTCCTTGGAGTCAATGGCCAACCATTAATTAGTTTAAGGAATAGGAGTAGTTTAATCTCATTGTTATTATTGTTATTATGATTATAATTTTTTATTTTATTTTAATGTTATTATTTTATTGTTATTTGCATTTTCTCAGTTGGCCTATATTATTTCTTTGTAAAGCGCATAGGGGCAATGTGCAATATGCGCTATATATATAACATTATTATTATTATTATTATTAATACTCATTTACATTGTACTCATATTCTATTGATATTTTTTTTATTATCTCAATATAAGTTCTGACACAATAAACACTTTATCTTTTACTTTCCTTTTAGCAAGAAAAAGAATACCAATAAATGCTGCACGAATAACCAACTTCAATACAATGTTGATGGTACAAGTCATGAAAGAGTTAGAACATTACATTACCTTCCTGGTTTGTTGATGTATTTATTGAGTCGTTGTTTAACTTCATCGTAGGTCATAAAGGACATATATCCTTTGTGTTTCACTGCCAGACTGTTCCAGTTTACCAACAAGGAACTAAAAGGTTGGAAGAGCCGAGTAAACACATCAAATTCAAAGTTGGATATGTAATCATTACATGTTAGATCAATGGTTGTCTTTAGAGCAATTGCTTCGAGGCCGGAGTGTATTGGGTGCACTTCCGCAAGGGTCTGCCGAAATGCTCGCCAAGTTACTATCGTCCTAGGAGGAAAAAAAAGTGGCTGCTTAGACAACAATTTATCAGGAAGTTAGAAGTTAGAATTTAAGTCAATAGAATACAAAGTGTAAAATGCTTAATGACAATCAACACAAATATACTGTAGAATGATTTAAAATTCTTTTTACAGATCTGATCATTTTAAGTACATCAGATCATATATCTTGGAAGAAATTCATCTGGTTATCTCATTTTACATTTTAATCATCAAACCAATCATTTGAAATCTAAACTAAAACCCAAATATTTGACATTTCCCCTTCCCCTTCTTTGTTGTTGTTAAGCGCCTCAAAGTTGTGTCAACGCGAGGTGCTATATAAATCCAGCATTATTATTATCATTATTATTATTATTATTATATAGTCATCTGATCATAAGTATCTGATTACTTTAAGCAAAGATCTGATTATTTAAGTATAGATATGACAATTTATGACTTTCACTTTACACACACATCTATTCATTTAAGTACAAATCTGATAAATGTTAAGTACAGATATGACAATTATAAGTACAAATCTGATAATCAAAGTACAGGTTTTATGATTTTCAAAACCAAGACAAAGTGTTAATGTCAAACATTATCAAGTGAAATTAGGGCTTCAAACACGTTTGATGGCTTAGTATCTAATTAGTACACTTGACTTGATTATGAATGCTAACCAATCACAATAAACCAATGATAACATGTGACCAACATCTAGCTCTGATAATTAAATCTTTTTTTGTGTGACCAGCATTCACATTGTCCTTAAATGGAGACCAGAAAATTGTACGAGTGCCAATCCCTGATTTATAGCACGGTGGGTTTGATTAATCCTGAGTGCAAGCAACATACAGTACGGTACAGTACATCCAATATCACATACCGGTACATAGTGTATACAGTAGACTGCCATATGTACAGTATCTTCTTACAATCAATGATCATTCTTTCATTCACTATCACATACTAGTAATAAATAAATGTATATCACATACTATACTAGTGACAAATATATCATTCATCACATTATATAATCTGTCATTCACTATCACATACTTAGTATATTTTCAAGATATTACATAATATTTAATTTTTTAGAGCCTGGCTACAACTGCAATTACATTATACCAATGTGACTTAAATGGACTTCTTATACAATATTCATTATAGTGTATTAGCACTCTAAATGCACAGGCATAATAGCAACATTATTAATATTTATCTTCTTGTTAATAAACCTACACTATTGATCCAAGGTCTACAATATTAACATGTGTCATTCCTGTAATGTTATGATGTGTGTTCTTAATGGTTTATGATAATATGGAATCGGTACTGTAACCATTAAATTGTAGATTTTCTTTTTGTTGATAAATTCTTAGAGCATATGTTTACATTGGTTGCATGCATTTAATTGTGGGTAAATTACAGTGTGGGTTCATCTGAAACATTACTCAACTACAAGTTCATCTTCATATACTGCTCTACTACACAAATCCATAATAATTCTGAAAAATCCGTAATAATTGAAACTGGAAATTATATAATCCTTTAATGAGTACTGTAGTTGATCTCGAGCATTAATTATTATTTAACCATAAGCACCAAGAAAAGAGAGAAAAAAAGGATTTCAAATGTTTCCATTTGTTTAGTGTTTAACTTAATTTATTATTTGAATGTAGTCGGTCTACCCACTTTTGTATAGTTGTAACCATCTTAATATATTTCCTCCATGTTATAACTGTATGTACAGTATTTTGGATGTTTATTGTAGCATCACATTCCTCGAAAAGCTTACTGAATGGTGATCTGAAATTCTCAACAGGAACCCTTTCAATTCATTTCCGTGAAGCAACATCGGTTTTTATTAAAGAAAAAAAATCTTCCATCGTAACGGAATTGTAAAAACTATGTTTATGTTAGCATCCCATTCCTCGAAAAGCTTATTGAACCGTGGTCTCAAATTCTCAACAGGAACCTATCAAATCATTTCCTTGAAGCAACGTCAGTTTGTATTTAAGAAAAAGAAAAATCTTCCATAGTACAGAGGAAACTCAAAATTTAAAGGAACACCATTTTTTTGCCCATTAGAAATATTAATTCTTTACCAATGCGTCCAAATTCTTTTAAAAGACCACACATGGACGACCATACTAATGGGAGGGGCGGTCCAAACTGTACATCACACTCTGTTGTATGAGACCACTAACATTTCAAAATGCCTAAAAATTGTACTGTATAGCATTCGTTTGTATTGTGTATTTTTACAATTGTAGAAGCAAATAATATATTTAACATAATAGAGATGGGCTGCCTATTTACTGCCATACTACTGATGGTTGGAAATGGTACAATTAATATATCTAGCATTTTGAACTTGAACATTTAAAGATGATATAGGGACCTTGGCTTAAAATATGCAATAGATTTTTTTTATAAGAATTATTTTAAAACATTTAAAATTTAAATTTATAAAGTTTTAAACGTTCTTCGTCAATAATCAATAAGCTACTTGTTGAAGTTTATGAACTTTCTTGATAATGATGACAAAGAGAACAATATCCCTGTGATGAGAATATTTTTTAATCTATTTTTGAGGCATGTGAAGTACTAGCGCAAATTAATTTCACCATATTGATAAAGAATTTGCAAATAATAAGTTAAATCTGAAAATGCGCTATATAAATAAATATATTATTAATAATATAAAAAATATAAATTGATATGCTAAGAAACATCAGTATAGCTCAAAAAAAAGGTTAAGCAATATTTAACACTTAATTAAGATTAGACAACATAGAAACCACAAACCTAATGCTTAACGGGTAAAAACGATTGATTGATGTAAGGATAACTGTTGTCAGTTTGATTACCAACTTAAAAAAAGAAGGTTGAATACATTCTTTTTCATACCAGGAAGTTCCATGGATACAAGATTAAATGTGTGAGGAACATAGAGTACATCCTGTTAAATTGTGTAGGTGGAGAAGTCAAGTATTATACTAGTGAGCATTGAATTAGGAATTACATTCTGAACATTGTATGCTCTTAATTTTCATATTTACAAAATGTAAGAGAATAGAACTGAAATGATGCACAATACAAACAAAACAAATACTTTAAGCATAATCATGAAATATTAGGAGAAAAATGTTAATTGTGTAAAGGCAATTTGAATTCCCTAATAATTTCCAATGTGGAGGTGGAAATGTGACAATGAATCAACAGCTAAAGTACTGTACCTACAGAGCAATTTGATGTGTATATGTATTACTACAGTTATGCGGTGTTACTAAATATAAATGTAAGGTATGTTTTGGCACAATGGAATAAATTACCTTTAAAGTTGTACAATAAAAGCATGAGGAAACAATGGCTTGATGGGATTTAACATTTAATTATTAAAGAAATGAACCAAGGTGGAATCTATGGGTTCTTATCATTTACTTATGGACTACATAATTAAGAACAGCATGGAAGAGGAAGAGTATTTACAACAGAATCCAGAATTTATTAAAATTTTCCCGAATAATGTTGGGACAGACTATTGGATGGACGTGGCATACGGAATAGAAGAGAGCACACACATCGGGAGGAATCATGGATGTGGAGCACTGTATAGGAAAAAAAATATGGGAAGGAACTTATGGGGGTAACATACCCTCATGGGAGATACAGGGGTGGTTTACATAAAGTACACCCCATGGGGGAGGCATACTTGATATGCTTTTATTATTAGTTTCTACTTTTTGTTTTGTCGGGGTCAAATTGAGACAAGCTTCGCTTCTATTTTTGATCCTAATTAATTAATTTTAATGTTGTCCACTTTATTTATCATTTGATGTATTTGATTAATTTAAATTGAATAAATGTTAATTGAATTGAATTGAATTGAAGAGATGTCAAATAGGTGGGAGGAAACCCTATGGGATGGAAACCTATTGAAGCACCAGTGGATAGGAAGTGGTAATTACTATGTGGGATTTCCCCTTCTTTTTGGCTTTCTAAATACAATTCTTTAGACTTATTGAATTCTACAGAGATGAATTTAGACAATGTATTTTGAAAAAATCTTTTAAAAAGTATTTGGATTCGGATCCAAGACCTTTTGATAACTGTTTACTTGCTCTGTAGACTGAACTATGAGGCAAAGATGGATTCTCCCTAGGGTTTTCTACTTTCCCAAGTACTGCATAATAATATGTGATTGATAGTTACAACTGCATGATATTAATAACAATTTTGGGTGACACTGCAAAACAAAATTCTAAAATAGAATGAGGACAGTAAATGACAGAATTACATGGTATAATAATTACACCCACACATACAAAGGTGATATGCCAAGATGATCATACATCATAATTTTAAAATTTAAAATTAGCACTGTCATTGATAATTTAAAAATTGACCACAAAAAAACCATGTTTTCTACAGTAAATACTATCGCTGCCGGATTGGTAGTCTTTGAGGTCCAAAAATTTGTTCCGGATCTGTCCTCCTCCAGTTGTGAAATATTAATTAACATTAGACACATAGAAAAAATACAATATAAAGATTGAATATAGAATTAAAAGTGGTAATTCTGTTTTATTTTTTATTTTCTGTTTTACAACCGTGACTTGATTTCCTTTTGAAAAAAAAAACGTTCTACAACAAAAACATAATAAATATATAATTAAAAAGTAAATTAATGTTCAGGCAAATGTCAAAATGTTAATCTATTTTTTTTTTTTATCTCATTTTTATGTCATCAATCTTACCTTGTTCCAAAATTCTTTTTCCAGAAGTCAGACGCATCTTGTTTGGTGATTCTGAAATGTGCATCGATGTAAACACCATTTGGAAAGACTGCCTTAATCTCTGCTAAATTATGACTGAAAATCAAAGACAGTCTGTTTAATTCCCGTCGACAAGTTGCGGACTCGTCAAACATCCTCTCTTTATTGTCTTTGAAAAGTTTGATTGTTTGCTTTGTTTTCCGCATGATATTATCAACGAAGATTCGAAAGTATTCTATTTCATTCAAAACATGAACCTTGTCTTCATACTTGGTCCAGATAGTCCGTAGGTGGTGGTATGTGTCAGGAAGGATGTCCAGAATGTAGGGTGGACTATTCTTTAGCTTCATTTTGGGATGTTGGCACAATCTCATTACCTTTTCCATCCATCTCCATGTTCTCTCGAGAGTTCTGCGATCAACTGTGGGTCTAGTTGGTGCCACAAGATCAGCTACGGCACCTCCTAATCTGCTTAGGCCACTTAGGAAAGCTGCCATCACTACTGGAGACAAAGTCGACTTGTGCCTGTTTTGCCTTATTCTACTAAACACAACAGAAATCTAGATGTACAGCCTTGCTGCTAGACAGCTAGCTTGCCTCACAACAAGGAAAAGGCTTTCCTTACCCAGCAATCAATGCTATTGCTTACTGGTAAATTTAGAGGTTATACATCAATACATCTTACAAAAATTTACTCATCTTTCATTTTATCCACATTGTATCCAGAATTTCCAGAAATACGTCTATTAATTTGAGTTTCACCATCGAGATGTTCTACTCCTGTTAGGCAGATTGTGGCCGTGTGAACGCGGAAGTAAATACACGCCCTCTATAGTGCTTCCGCATACACGTCATATCATAACCAGCAAAATGGCAGACGAAGTCCTCTCTGAAGAATTGGAAGACACAAGTTGGTAAGTTGATAATGCAGATTTTTGAACAAAATCATTCAAGAAAATGTTCACACACATTTAGCTCCTCCTGCACTTGTTAATTACGTTAATTAAACTAAACAAAATACATTATAGCATTGCTGAATGTTCAACAATGAGTCGATGAATCCAATGTTTATTATGATAGACGAATATACGGGCCAGCACTTCATTGATGTAGGCTAGGTAGTCCAGAGAGCTGACTAATCTAATGATTACCGTGTGTGGAACCAAAACAATCAAATAGTGGGCGGGGCAACCACATTTTTTATGCTTCTTGTTGTCTTGTTCATACGACGTTTATCCACGCTGACCACTTAACTGTTAGTGGAAAATAAAACCAACACTCTCTTCTGCATACTTAATTAAACCGTAAACTTTCACTCCGTGCTCCCGTAATACCCCCACATGACACACCCACCACATATGATAGGCCTATATCCCACATGGCACATGCCACCACTCCCACTGCATACCACAGTAAGCTAGTGTTACTGCATACCATCACACCATGTAACCACTCACCACAATACCCACGCAGCCTCAAACCACTACCACACAGACCATGTATAACTACTCTCAATATCCACACAACCGCAAACCACAACTCCGCCATGTACTGTCCACTCACAGTACCCACACAACCACAAACCACTACTCCCACCATGTAACCACTCACAATACCCACACATTCACATACGACCATTCCCACCAAAAAGGGATGCTCTGCGCAAAAATTGGCCTAGAAACCCTTTCATGAATTTCGGAAAATAAGGGCCGAATTCTGCTCAGTTTTTTGCCGAAAATTAGGCTTTGACCTAAACCAATAACCAATGTATTATGCAGTAGGCCTAGTTACAATTCTATACACCTATTTTCTTAGCTATTTTCCACCCAATTTTGAGCTAGTTTTTGAGCTAACATTCCTACCACATAACATGAGTCATTTTGCAGTTTTGTTTGCTTGATGATTTTGAGGATTCAAGCATTCAGCTTAAAAAGACCCATATATTAACACCATTCAATTCAAGACTTGGAAGTATGCACTATCAGACCCATAATACCATTCAAATCAGAACATTTTATTCAATGATTATTGTTTTATTGTAGGTGTCTAGGCTTGGAAGAATGGATGCACTATCAGACCCATAATACCATTCAAATAAGGACATTTTTCAATGATTATTGTTTTATTGTAGGTGTCTAGGCTTGGAAGAATAGATGCACTATCAGACCCATAATACCATTCAAATAAGGACATTTTTCAATGATTATCGTTTTATTGTAGTTGTCTAGGCTTTGAAGAATAGATGCACTATCAGACCCATAATACCATTCAAATAAGAACATCATTCAATGATTATTATATTGTTGTAGGTATCAAGGCTTGGAAGATGCATAATCAGACCCATAAATACGATTCAAATAAGAACATCATTCAATGATTATTATATTGTTGTAGGTATCAAGGCTTGGAAGATGCACTATCAGACCCATAAATACGATTCAAATAAGAACATCATTCAATGATTATTATATTGTTGTAGGTATCAAGGCTTGGAAGATCACTATCAGACCCATAAATACCTTTCAAATAAGAACATTATTCAATGATTATTATATTGTTATAGGTATCAAGACTTAGAAGATGCACTATCAGACCCATAAATACCTTTCAAATAAGAACATTATTCAATGATTATTATATTGTTATAGGTATCAAGACTTAGAAGATGCACTATCAGAGACTTGTGACTTTGGCGCTCTGAGAAACATCTGCAAGGGAAGACAGATTCCAGATCACTTCCGGGCGGAATCATGGAAAGTATGTCTTTAGAATGTGTATTCTGATGGTATTTCTTTTTTCTGCTGTAGTGGCAATGTTTCAAAATGTTATTTTTTTTAAATTTCATTTAATTTCCAGATACTACAAATACACTATTATGTACTGTATTTACATATGGTACTCTGGGCATTTAAGTGCTAAGCACTGTCTTGGCTCTACATACTATGCAGTAAGTGAGTTGAGTGCTTAGTAGCACCAACTCTCCATGGATAAGGCTTGGTGTACACATCTGTCGTCTTGTGTTATCTAGTGTTTCCTTTGGAAGCACAGGGGGCTACCACAGTGCTCTGTTTCGCTTGCACGGTGAGCATTAGAGGCACAATACGTATAGAAGGCAAACCAGCAAAATACTAACACCAATCTATTTCACAGATATGTTTAAATGTTGCAAGAAAAGGTGACAGCCTGGCAACATTTGATGGAATATTTGACCTCGAAGAACAAGACCAGCTTAGGAATGATTGTAAAGAGTTTGTTGGTGAGTGTTATACCATTGTGTTTCAATGAATTGAATTTCAACCAAACTATTATAGAAATTACTAAAAAAATACTACCATCATTGATATGATGCTGCATGTTAATGGGTTAGGTGCAGTTTATTTTATTTCTTAGTCAAGAAAATTTGTGTTGTTCTTTTCTAATAAAATCAAAAAGTTTCATTTGTGCTTGTTCTTCTCTAGATTGAATAGTAAATTAATAGCAAATGAAAATCTAAAACAATTAAATATGTGCGATAATTTCTTCTTTTTTTTATTTCTAGATAAATTTGATAACACACAGGCTGAGAAGCTATCACTGGCTAGTGACATTGAGTCTGTCATAACATTTTACTGTAAATCAAAAAATGTCAAATATGAACAAAATAATTGTTGGTTGGAACTGCTGTCACCATTTGTGTCACTCAAGATGGATAAGTGTGATTTGTACAATTGTTTTTATGCTGTGATGACAAGATTTGTGCCGAGGTACGTTATGCAACATCAGTAAAAAAAAAAATTATTATTGATATGATTGATTAATGTGTTGATTGTACTTGTTTCCCGGTACCTGTATTATTGTGAAGAAAATTATAATCCAATTTGGCTTTATTAAAATGAATACTGTAGATATCTTAAATTCTTATAAAATTTCCTTAATAAAGAAACAGGTAAACCTGTATTATTATAGTCTATTTTGTTAAAATTGTACATAATAACTTAAGGTTTGTACAGTGCATGAAATATTATACAAATATTGACTGCTCATGAGGGAAATGGTGAAATCTATTGCCCCAAGGCTAGTCCTTCATACAGGAGCTTGAACCGACCAGCCTTCATATTTGTTTATCGTCTACTTAATGATCCATGGTGCACGATCAAGGGCCAATTCGTTGTAGAGGTCGCAGTCCCCTTTATCGTCAGCGCGATATTAAGTGGGGCTAGAGTTTGCATATCACATGGCAGGGCAAAAAAGTGCTATCTTTTTCAGGGGAATAGTACTTTTGATTATAGACGTTGTCCCAACGTCAGTACTTTGTTGGCCTGACGTCGGTAAACGTTAGTGGAGGTTGGTGACAACAGTTTGGCCGACGTTGGTTAGAAGTTGTAAATTTCAAACGTTTACCGACGTCGGGCCAACAGAGTACTGTGATGTTGCGACAACGTCTATAATTATACATGATATTTACAACCTCTAAGAAACGTCGGCCCAACGGTCAACGGCAGCGGAAGCGGGGGGGGGGGGGGGCGGGGGAACATTGGCCCCCCCCCTTTTTCTGGGGGGGGGGGGGCCGGGCCCCCCCCCCCCCCCCCCCTTTTGGGAAGTAAAAAAAGGAAAGAAAAAAAGAAAAAAATGATAGCCCACAACGCCTCAAATGTTATTTTCGGGCGTCTAGAACACAAAAATTTCGCAGGGGCATGCCGCCGGAACCCCTAGCACATTGTTGTCTCGATCAGCCCAAATTTCGGGCCCACCCCCCACTTTTTGGATCTCTGGATCCGCCCCTGATTAATATTAAAAATGAAGTAATATTCTGCAAACAGAACATGGTACAAAATGAGTGGGAAACACAACTATAGTTTGTTAATTATGTTTGTGAATTTATAAACCAAATTTGAATGATTTGATTGTAATTTCTAATGTTTGTTTGGTTGCAGTTCATGTCATTGTATGCTGGCAATTGTGAGACTGAAGTTGTTCAGCGTATGTGGAATGTATACTTCCTTCAAGCTGATCCGTTTTTGGTCTTTTTTCTTGCATTAGTTATATTAGTCAATGCTAAGTAAGTCTACAATATATCTGGAATCTGTTTTAGGGGCTAAATAACCCTAGGAGTAGCGCACACTGCAATGGTCGACAGTCGGATTGGATTGGATTGGGTTTATTCAGTGTAAACACCAAGGATAGCCCACGAAAATCTGGAAGAAGACTTATTTCCAGTGGGGTCCTTCTGGTGGTGATTGGGTCAATCGATGAATCCCACTACAATGGAGTGAAGCTGTATGTTTGTGGTTAAGATGCTTGCCTTCCAATCCCAGGGTCCTGGGTTCAAATCCTGTGACAACATAGGATTTTTTCTCATGACAAAAAACACATATCCACTCCCTAAGCCTCATAATTAGACTTTGCTGATATTGTTAATATTATTATTATTATATTGTTAATATTATTATTATTATTATTATTATTATTATTTATATATTGTTAATGTAAATATTATATTTATTATTATTTATTCTTTCTTTAAAACTGCAGGCACATTCAGTACATTTGTACTGGTTTTCAAAGTGCTACACTTACAAACCAAACCATCAAAAGAGAAAAAATACAAAACAAAGTCAAAAGATAATTCAATGTGAAACTTATAAATTAATAGAATTTTGGAATGAAACTAATGTCATTTCTTTAAAGTTAATTTTTGTTTTAGATGCACAAATATAAAAATTTTTATTTTGTGGGCCCAGTCTTAGTATACAAGCTGCTTACTCTTTAATCTGGATCTTTATTTAATGATTTATTAATAGTATTGAAAGGGATACTGGTTTTATTTATGATATACTTATGTATATAGAATTTTGTAATGAAACTAATGTCATTTCTTTAAAGTTAATTTTTGTTTCATTTCGAAGTTCATTTGAACTTTTAAATGCACAAATATAAAAATGTTTATTTTGTGGGCCCAGTCTTCGTATACAAGCTGCTTACTCTTTAATCTGGATCTTAATTTATTTAATGATTTAATAATAGTATTGAAAGGGATACTGGTTTTATTTATGATAAACTTATGTACAGTTTATAGTAATAGTTTCCGTAAAGTGTGCAATTAACCAATGTTTTATCTTTGTATTATTCAGAGACAACATTTTTTCATTAAGTAGCGAAAGTAATCAAATAATAATTGAGAGTCTAGCTAATTTTCCTGATCAACTAGAAGCAGAAGATGTGGATGATTTCTGTTCCTTAGCTCAGTACTATGCCTCAAAAACACCACAGTCATTCAGAAGGGTAAGTGGTCCAATTGTATGCCTCTCAAAAAGTACTCCAGCTTAAAAATACCAGCAACTGTATCACTCTGTAGTAGGGCTCTTTGAGGAAGAAAAACAAAGATGAATGGTGGTGTTTTACCATGTTAAGTTTAATATCATATGATTTACCTATTCATTAAATAAAGCACTAAAATACTTCAAGAATGACATGTCTTAATATTTATTATACAGCTTCAATGCTCAGTTAGCATAGCAACTGAATGCTAAATATAAGGTCTTGGGATTTTGAATTCAGTTGAGGACAGTATGTTTTTTTCTGATATCATCTTTGGAGAGAGGCTATAAGTGACATGCTGTTCCAGAGTAGTGATTATGGAGTTGGTATTTCTTACAGTATTGCCCCTAATGGCAATAACATGCTGTATACAGGAGGCAGAACTGTACAGCACTGTACAATACAAGAAATTATTTTGTTTTTGTCAAACCATATCAAAAATTGCTACAGAATATTGTACAAATTGAAAAAACAATATCAAAAAACATTAAGTTAGTATCCATCCATCCATTCATCCATCCCTCCACTCATCCATTCATCCATCCATCCATCCATTCATCCGTTCATTCATTCATTCATTCATTCATTCATTCATTCATTCGTTCATTCATCCATTCATCCATCCATTCATTCATCCATCCGTCCATCCATTCATTAATTCATTCATTCATTCATTCATTCATTCATTTAATCATTTTTTTTCTAAATGTTTATATTAATGATCAAAGGGATTGTTATTTGTGCAGGATTACCAGTCGATGTTTGGTAGCAGCATAGCTAACAGCAAAGACAGGACTAACAGCCTGTCCCATGAATTATGTTTACAAGTTAATGTATCAGAATTAGTCCAGTCAACCTCCCAAGCATCAGTAAGTCAACTGTATTTATATGTTACTTGTATTGCCAATTGAAACCTAATAAGTGGGACAATGGTCGAATTGAATGTTAATAACTCTGTTTAAGTCAACCGTATGATATTTGGATTGGAATATCTTTTGTGTGAAAATACCAAGGATAACCTGGGCCACCACAATTTAAAAGACGGTAGTGTCCTTTGAGTGGGTAATTTGGCAGTGCACTAGGAGGGAATGCTGTATTCTGCAGAGTGAACTGAGTTAGGTGTCATCCATTATTTTCATCATTTTCACGAGCATACAAAACGTACGCTGGGGGAGGAGGTTGAAGGCATGTGTACGCTTTTAAAAAAGTACAAATATGACGATTTGGAAAAGTTGGCCTACGTTTTTGTGCCTAGGCATTTCCCTAGAAAGCCAAAGTTTACCGTTATAAATTCACTGGTAAATGTTCAGTTTATCAACTATACACAGCGTCATCTTACATCCCTAATTAACGATGAGTTGATAAGCATTGTGTACTTATAAACAAATTTCAATTACAAGGGAAATGCACTCTAGCTCCGTAAATTTGAATAAACTGTAAGCCAGCAGCCGACAAAACCATAAAGCCTGACACTGACACAGTAGGGTAGCTGCATTGGGACCATGTGTTTCACCTGTCTCTTA